TGTTTATACACTTGGGATGTGAAGTAACTTCAGAGGATTGACAGATCTCAACAAGAAGGTGTTATCTTTCTAATCAGCCTGTCTACGACTACGAGAGTTCATTGCAACCATCCATCCATCCTGTCAAAACACTTTCATTTGCAACTTAGCATATGGCTAATTCGAAAGAAAAAATAACATTCTTACAAAATTTACAAGATTTATACAAAACCTTTTTGACATTTTAAGTGGATTTATCGTATAAAAATGTTTATATGACGGAAAATATAGGGAGGGGAGGGGGGGGGGGACACATAGGAAAATGTATCTGTCTGCCAAATCCTGTCATTTATGTTTCCATTTTTATTTGGTTTCTATCGATTTTGGATACTAAATATAAATATTCACTAAACAAATATCCATCCTTCACATTGTATCTTAATTTTACAAAAAATCTGTGGAAGGGTAATATATTGGGGATAAATCCACAATATATTGAGTAAGATTGTCACTGACAGTTGATCTTTTTTTCAAAAGAAGTGCCTACTATATTGCTAATCAAATTTGAGAGAGTAAACTAATCCCTTTCCATTTGCTGCTATCCTATTCATTACTATTCATATCAAACCTCATAACTACATTACATGTATCTCAAATTACTATGTGGCATCATTTCTTAATTTAGTCTTTTTACCTTTAACCCCCCCTCCTCCACATTTCTTTCTCTGACATACACTATAGTTTGCAGGCACAAACCCTTGTTAGTCGAAAAGCGTAACAGTGTCTGAAATGTAAGACTATATAGACTGCAAGGTCGCCTACACTCCATAGGACATGTACTATAGCCTCTCCTGACACAACCAGTGACAGATAAATCAGACTGGGCTCAAGGCATCATAGAATTTTGTTTCAAAAGTCAAAATAGAGTCTGTTTCTGCAGACTACACACAATGGGCAATGCATCCTTGAAAATTCTGCCAGACAACAGCATGACACATTGGGTAGGAGATGAGTTACCATGGAAACAACATCATTCCTACTGTGTCTAGATTGTGAGGAAGAGAAAGGCCCTTTGGGGGGAGTCCATCTATAGACCCAATTCCCAATCAACATGTAACAGGAGCAGAGTAACTGAAGTAGAAAGCAATGTCTTGTATCCAACTGAAATGTGATTTATGATAAATAGCTTTGTACTTGATGATCCTCTTTTGATCAAATGATTGTCATTTCTTAACAGTATTGAAAAAGATATACACTGTAGGCCTCCTGTACAAAAATAGGAAGCTACGTGTACATGGATTGGTAAAGTTGTATAAACTATAATTAGGAACATTCGTACGCAAAGATGATGTTGAAATTCAATAGTAAGAATAGATCATGCATATTTCAATGTTTATTTTGTACATTTGAGGTAATCCCTTCTACTTCTGTAGGATAGAGTCATCATGAACTACAAACAAAAAAATTAAGAGAAAAGTTTAATCAGGTATTTTATTCTTAGCATTTTGATACCTAAAATTGGATGAAAATATTGTCATACATGTTAGCAATCTGAAACGTGAACACACATTTAAAGAAGAATAAACACAAGGCCTACATGTACTTGTAATCACATTGCATAGGATCTGTTAAAGGTCAAATATATATTTATGTCCTGTCTGTTACCTCACTAAAATGTTATGATGATTTTATTGCTAATCTATATCTTACACATCTGTAGTTAGCTAACATGTAACTGATATTATTTGAACATTAACTGATACAGCTGGCTATCAAGAAGTAGGTTTCATGAACATCCTCCAAACATTACACTGCTACAATTCAGTACAACTACAATATATTATGTATTGTTTACTGGACATGAGAGGAATCAATTTAGAATGTAGCTTGACACAGATGTATTTTGGGAATTAAGTACTTTTTTGTATACTATAATTATATGTTGACCATTGATAAGGATTTTAGCTAAGTGATAATCTTGTAACATGTCAATGTATTAGACAATGTATGATAATATATGACACTGTAAGAGTCCACAATTTTTTAAATATTTTTTTTAAAAAGATGCATCTAACAACAACAAAATTAGATGAAAAAAATTCAAGCAAAAGTAATGACTACAGCATGGCCTGTTGAGCTGAGTTGTTTTTTATTCTGCATGCATGCAATCGTCTTTAATTTGTATAGATTAATTGCAGAGAATAATTACACAGCTGTTCTGACATCACTAGTTACTAAAATTATCATTAACATAACCAGTTCGTAACCTTTACTCAACAACTGACAAATATAAAGTACTGTCCAGACTCTCATCTACTGAAAAACGTTTTACAGTTGCTCAGTAATATGATTCACCAATTTTATGAGTTTTACGTTTCTCTTCACAATCTGTTATTTTGTAAGCGCTGTGGTACTTCTTGTTTGAAGCGGTTCTCAATAATCAATATTATTATTATCATCATCAACATAAAGTAATTAATGTCAGGTGCAAACAGACCTCATTTCTACATTTGCAGGACAAAAAGAATGAGCCATAAGGTCAGTCTGGTCAAGGCACAAAATGGTTTTAAATCTAAATCCATGAATTGTATCAAATTTGTTGTCTGTGATACATGGAATAGTACATGTACATCTAAGACAACATTCTTCCAGAGTTGTTAATAACATTTGTATTGAAGAATAGTCTTAGATGATCACTAAATTCATTATCAAAATTATAATTCTTTTCTCAAGAATACTTACTCTGATAATTGATACAATTTTTGTAATCAAATGACATTATTTTCTCTTACAAGAAATGAAAATATAAATAGGAAAGTACATCTATGGGGCTTTCCAATATATCACACACACACACTACAGCTTCTAAACACATCTACATGTAGTTCAACAAAATAGTTCAACTCATTTTTAGTTTTACCTCCAGTTCATTCTCCAATCTCAATGTTTAAACAATTTAAATCCAGAGTATGATATTGATGCTAACAAGATGCATTTGAATCAACACCAGCTTGATTAACGGTCAACACCAACATAAAAACATAGATCCACACACTGGTAAACATGTTACATGTTAATACACATACTATAGCATACACAATCTCTGAATACAACTTCATTAAATTTCAGCAGTAAAATTCATACAAGCAGCATAAGAATCTCAAAGCTTATGACACTTGTAACAAAATTGATGGATTCATGCTACTGTAGGACTTAAATTGCTAAATGCAAACATGTTTGTAAACCTGTTATGATTTGATACTTTAAACCTGTCTATCAAAAATGACACAATTATTTTCAAGATGGAATTTCTGTGGAGCACAATTTGCCAGTTGATTAGAAGGAGGATTGGAGGAGGGAGGGGTCAAAATCAAAAACTTTAATCTTCGAACCTTTTGAAATTTGTATCATCACCATCATCTGCTTTTTGGTTTTCTTATTTATTTATTTTCTTCTTCATTACCTTCTCACCTTCTTCCTGTTTACATGTACATCTCTTGTAATCTTCTCATGCTGACAATGCTTCTTCTTTTACTTCCACTTAATTCTCAATCTCCATGCTTTTCTTTCATGCAATTCAATTTTCCCTTCCCTTTTTCTCCATAATTTGTATTGTTATACAGTATCCTGCTTTCCCTCTTTTTCTATTATTTTGTTTCCATTTTGAGCTTTATCAAACTAATGCTCTCTCTCAGTCTTAGATGGATTCCTCTTCTGATTCATCCTTTTACCTCCATTCGCTCCTCAATTTCCTTTTCAATTTTTCACACTCTTATGGTTTCATATTATTCTCTTGCATTCTTTGTTTCATATCTCTTGCTTCTTCCTTTACTTCCATCTTTTTTCATTTTTGTCAATACTCTTCTTTTTCTCTTTTCTTTCTTTTCTTGCTGTTCAGAGCTGGATAGATTTTTATTGTCAAAATATGTGATCCTTTGATGATTTGATCATAAAAGTTTGATGTCATATGGAATGGTTACACTCAAACTAGCTTCCAAGTTCCACATCATTACAAGAATTTAGCAATATGATTCCTTGATATAGTTTAGGCATTTCGCTTTTTTCCTTCACCCAAAAGGCATCAATCATTATCTCTGCAGAGGGTGTGATAGCAGCTCAATTTGAGATAGAGACCTGACCCGTAGTGTAGCTGAAACATTCTAGTTTCGGCATCGAGGTGTCGTGGTCGAGTGGATACGTCGCCGGACTGTTGATCACAAGGTCCGCGATTCGAGTCCTGCTGCGGCACTAATGTCCTTTGGCAAGACATTGATCTACATTTGCCACACTCAACCCAGGTGACGTATATGGGTACCTGGCAGGAATTAATTCCTTGAAATGCTAGAGTGCCGCAGTAGCCGCCTTGCTAAAGCCAGGGTAATAATCGGGGCAGCGCCAGGAGCATCACAACATGACGGACATGTGCACTATATAAGAAGGCACCATTATTATTATCTACATGGCGTAGGCCTAGTGCAAAAGGCTTAAGTTCTACTAGACTTGCACCTTGGGGAGTCCTTTAGCATGTTTGGCCTTTGGCTTTTGCCTGTGGCCTGTGCCTGTGCTGTGACAGTACAACAGTACAACAACAACAACAAAATTCAACACTTCTAAAGTTCTTCTAGGTCTAAATATCCTACTATTTATTTGAGAAATCGTGAGTCTGCAATGAGAGTCTATAAATGCCATAATAAGGAAATGATGTAGACATTGGTTTAGTGAATACATAATTTTAAATCTCTTAAAAGACGAGCTACAAAGTACAAACAGTATAAGGGAAAGTCTTCGGACCTAGATCTACTGCCATTGCCACGGCTACTACTTGCTGTTCATGACCCTAGGCCTCCGCCCCGCGTCTCTCCCGCTGGCCTAGCCCTTAGCGGCGAAATGCGACGGGGCTCGCGATGACAGCAGCTGCTGTCCGCGCGCGGCGACCTACCTGCCTGTTGATAAACATATTTATCATCTACCAAAAAACAGTGAATACAAAATACAACAAGGATATTAGACATTAATCATACCTGAAATTGATGAACTGGAAACCTCTGATGACAGATAGAAAGCAAATCTTGCCAATGAATCCACAGCAAAAGACGTGAAAACGAGATGAAGACGGCGATCAAAATTTGACCTGGAGAAACTGTATGGTAATCAGCAGTAGAGGGCGTTTGACAACTTGAAAGTTGAGACCCGAAACAATACTACTGCTGCAGTATAGTTTTCTGAAAAATATTTTTATTTTCATTTCACAGATGTTTTTCCAGGCATGGTCGGATAGGGGGCGGGGGGATTTTTTTTTAACAGGGAAGGGGGATGTTCTGAACAGGGAAGTGACAAAATGAATCATTAAGTCCACTGATGTCAGGGGAAAGATATGAGAGGCGGTCTTCTCATGCTTCGTTATCATCCCCTTATCTTGATTTTTTTTCTTGCCAGTCCCCCTTTGCCCCTGTGTACTTGTGCCTCTGAATAGATATTCTGATCAATATATCAAATCTAATCTAGTGTCACTATATTGCTTGTTTACTGCACCACATTTTGGTGGCTGTGTAGGACTAGCTATGTACAAGATATCTGATGTGCAAACACTGGTAAACAATTGCATTTTTGTAATCATTTCAAACAAAAATACAGAGAGTGCCCTTTTATGTTATCCTGACAGAGTCCATGATATTACTTGGGCAAAGTAAAGAATAAGAAAATTTGCACAAACACATATTTGCTATTATTTCAGATACCTTATTTTTCAGGAAATAACAAAATGCAATTGTTTATTTGTGTTTGCACAGATATCTTCTACAATTTCACAACAAAACCTATTTCAACATATAAATATTACATTCATTAGTTTTGCGGTTAACCAAATGGATATTCCTGGAAAAGACTTTTGGGTAAGCATCTTTCTGTCTCATCATCACTTCTGATGACTACCAGTCAACCTGTTTGAAACATTGAGCCCTCTCTCCAAACACAAGAACATTTATACCTCACTCTCCTACTTTCTTTACCTCTCTCTCAACACAATATCAAGTAGTTCTCCCCAGGATAAAACCAAAAGAATACTTCTCTCTCACACTCTCTTTCCTTTTTTATCCCTTTTCAAACCCAACAGCCCTTTTCTGCTCAGTACTACCCACATGGTGTAATACACACCACGATGCACAACCTAACCTTAAAAGATCATCTACAACATTCCTCCTCGGAATACACATTACACCTCTGTTTACTTAATGTCTATCAGTCTACATTCATGCTACTAGTACTATATTAACAAAATCTCAACGTGTTATATTGCAGTTTCCTGTAATAATCAATAATTAACACACACATGACTGACACATATTCAATATTTCAATAGAACCTACTTCAACAAAATCAAACATAGAACTATAAAGCAGAAATATAATCTGTGGGTGTTCACACAATATAATGCTATGTCAAGGACAGGTATGAAATTTATTCATAAAAACCCTTTTTATGAATATTTATTCGTGTCACATTAAAAATTTGAAATAAGTTCACATAGATGTAAATGTACACATAATATACATATATAATATGTACCGAAGTGACAATAATTCCACACAAGTAATAAACAAAAGCAAACAATATTTTCCTGACTGCCACAGAAAACAAATTTGTATAAAGACTCATTTACATAACTTCTCACGTGAGATTGTCTTCACCTATTTAAACATTATTACAAAATATGCAGTCTACATGAATTTATCAACGTTAACATAACTGAAAGAAAACATTCCAAATTACAATAACATCATTTACTGAAACCAAAAGAAACAAAAAAAAAAACAAATCTTCACCATTATTTAAGAAAATAATCATACAATCAAAAATTAAATGAATAAATCTTAAAAAGATTACTCCATACCCCTATCATGATACAAACAAATAGGAAAAAATTGAAAATACAGATGTAACCACTTAACACTTTGGTAAACATTTTTTTAAGTGATGAATTATAAAAAGTCACTTGATATCTGGACTATAGCTAAACTTTTATGTACTAAATCAAGGCATAATGAAAATCCACATATCAAATGAAAATCATGTGTAATTTTATTTTTTCCTGCCTTACATTCACTTACACACTTATTTTAAGTCTATGATAGTTCAAAAGTTCAGGAAAAATTGGGCAACTTTAACAATTCTAGGTAACATATTCATATTTCCCATCTCAAATAAGTGCTACTATATTTCTTTTGTATTGCAAGGAGTGGATATATCACATAATAGTGATAGTGCGATACCAGTAAACAATAGAGCATTCTTTTTAAAAGAACATGTAGCTTTATGACACTTTTACATGAATTAAATAGTTCTACGTCAACTATAAATCCTAAAGTAATCGTTGAAATATTTCACCCTAAATAGAAGCTCAAGCATTCCCTGCTGCTTATGAAAGATACACTTCTATTCTAAACAATAGTATAACATGATGTGTCTCTGTTATACTTGTGCTAGCTCATTTCTCTTTACAATAGTGCGCATAAAACAACTTTGAAAACTACCTACACCTACGTGAAACAAAATTGACTAAAATTGAAAAAATTTGAGAAGAAAATGCTGCAAGCATGGCTCCGAAGCGAAGTGTTGCTGATAACACAGATCATTTTATAAGGAAGCTGAAAAAAAAAAAAAAAAGAGAAAGAAAGAACACATTACAAGATTTTCAGATACTCTCTACTTACAGGAAAATTGCAATCTAAAAGATACCGTCAAATAGTTATTTTCGATGAAAAGCAGGAAAGATAATCATGGTGTATACAAGAATGTGATAATATTGTGGGAATGTTTAAAGGTAAAGACCAGTATTGGAAATGCCCCAATTTCAAAAAATGAAATGGAAGCTCGCATTACCAATCATGTGAAAGAATATGTTTTGACTAATACATGATGATAAAAAATTTGCCGGGAAACCGCCTACTAATTCATATATTTGGTAAATTTGTTTCTCTCATGGTCTGTGAGAGATATAGGGTAGTCCCATATACATCTTTCTGTGTATAGTGCTTGTAACTTTACGAAGAATGGGCCAAATTTCTTATCATTTTGATGATTCCAGGACCTTGCAGATGCTAGATGCTAGATGATCAACCTTTTCTGATCGATTCCACAACGTTTCTTTCACAATGCAATCGCATGACCATAACTGGTCTTTACCTTTAAACAGGTCAATCAAAACACAAATTACCAATTCTTCCAGAATTGCATACAGAGATAGGTAAACAAAAATCAAAGTATCACCCCATTAATGTTCAAAGATAGCAGGATGGATGGACGGGTGGATGAACAGACAAAATATACCACATATTCCATACATGCCAACATTTGAAAATCAGAAATCTGTACAAATTATGCTATTTAAAAAAAAAAGAGGAACAATCCTAACTCTCCTATTCAATACTACAGACAAATTTGTACAGGAAGAGGAACACCTGCATTAAAATGATAATTATCTTCTCCCAAAAAGAGGAATGTTCCTCTTTAATCTGAACAGTTGGCATGTATGCATATTCAAAGGAGACCTTGTTATTCAGATGTGCAAAAGAAAATTCTTACACATGAAATATAGGACCGCATGTTATAATGAAATAATACATCTCTTTCACGTTTATCTTTATCTTTATTAGTCACAGCAATGACACTGTATTTTGATGTATTGAAAGATATTTAGAAGAGTCGTTCTCAATAGAACAGTTCAGAGATAGCACATGTACAAATGACCCCCAGACATCCACTGGGCTTTTAAACATGGAGAAGTCCCACTTCGTGAAATTTAGATTAATGTCTGCCAAAGTGATGGAGGTGCTTCAAGAATACCTTTTGTTTGCTCTTTTGAAAAGAATATTACTTCCACTCATGTATCATAGAATATACTTTCGGTGCATAAAGAAATGAAGATGAATTTCAGGAATCCATATATCCGGCATTCATCTTGATGAATTTTATTGTTTTGTTTTTTACAAATGCCCTGTAATGGCTCATGCGCAGATAAAATCTCAGAACTGGCCTTTTGTTTATCATCCAAATCATATAATAAATCATGACCCTTTCAAATGCAAGGGGAATTTGAATACATGCAGCATGCAATGAATGACTTATGATAACGTATTTACCTGTATGGATAACCTCTGTACTTGGCTCTGAATATCGAGAGTAGGAGACTGAAGAAGAACACAACCAGAGCCAATCCTATAACTGTCACAACTGAACGAAACAAAAAACAGAAAATCATTAGAAGGGTAATATGATTAAAAGATGCAGTCAGATAAGCCATACCAATAACCATGTAGGAAAACAAATGACTTTAACATTACCAACACAAGTAATTCACTCTTCTCCATAATGACTTCAGAGGATGCACTTCCTGACATCGCCATCAGTAACAGCCTATTTTATAGAGCAACAGGATCGCAGAAGAGAAAAAGGTATTACATGTAGCCCCCAAGCCCCCCCCCCCCCTCCCCCCCTCATAGCGGATACCAGCTTACCTCTACGCTTCCTGACATCACCATCTGTAATAGAGTTTTTATTGAGCAAGATGATGCCACAGGTCACAGCAGCATCTGATAAAGGTGTTAGTTAAAGGAATCAACTATCACATGCCATGGGAGAAAATGTGTAAAGCATAGGCTCATAAAATATACTGTCTATCAAGTTATCAACTGCATCTCAAATTCATATTCACATGTATAGAAAAAATACTTACAACACTTTCCTTGAAATATACATCTGATTATCTTCCATTTATAATGAAGACATTAACAGCGAAACCAACTACCTGTACACATCCAACCAAGATAGAATTTATCTACATGATACTTATTTTATTAATTCTTTCCTCTATCAGATTCTGCCAATCAAACATCAATACAATGCATGCTAAACAGCATCAACAAAATGATGAAGTAAGCTATATACAAATGCCATGGGAAAATATACTATATACGCATCCCTATTATTGCTTATCAAATCTGTTAAATTTTAGTCATCAAATCACCTTCGACATTCACATAATATGGAATCAAATCATCTTTTCTTCATTATCACAAATTGATATTTTTTGTCAATGACACTGTATCAAAAGCATCTACTCTCAAATTAAAGAACAACATTTTGGTTTAATAGTCGGTTGCTTATTGGTCATGTTCTGTACATATTCAGTAAGAATTTCAGGGGTCCCAACATCCCACAGGGTGATCCTCTCTAAAAATGGTCCCCCACATATAATGCACAGGGGACATGAATTAGTCCCTGAAATGAGAAAGCACCTGGATTATGCTATCAAAATAGTAATACAAATTGTCTGATGTAGTAGAAGTAGTAAAGTTTGTGTCAAAGGATACTGAGCAGAATGACGATGTGGGTCTCAGCGACAAACTGGCCCTGACTGCTGCCATGGATGTAACTCTGGAAAAGGAAAAGAATGAAACATATATTCATTGCATTAACATTTAAAAGAAAATGGAATTGTATTTCAATGAATGCTACCTATCGACTGATAATAATAAATAATAATAAAACAAAAAGCAAACAAACAAATCAAAAATACAAATAAAATTTTTAAAATTCACCTTTAACTGTGTCGAAATTGCAGGCAAACTTTCTCATGAAGAGCAGGCCCCCGTCTTATAAAGAGTTGCGATTGATCCAAATCGTTCGCACGTCCTCTCATTAATTGCAAGTTTGCACTCGCTATCTATTATGTACATAGTTAGGGTTATTATCAACTCCTCAAAAGGCATGGCATCACTGTGGTTCCCCTCTTTCTTAGAAAGTTTAATAAAAAAAACAATAGAAAATAAACCTTATATGTTTATCATAATTCTCTGCTTACTTACCACTTGTCCATTCTGTGGGTTGCGATGAGCATAAGGCGGACCACGGATATGATTCCACATCTGACCTGATGTCATGGCAAATACAATGCTCTGAAGATGGAAAAACAAAGTATTTCATAATTATATAGAAATATATTAAGGAGACCGAAATAGGGTATTGTTTATTTTCTAACTGAATATAAGTGAACCAGAAGACTGCAACAAGGGTTAATGAACTTGAAATAGAATGGGCACAATAAAAGAAGTTGAGATGTAAAAAAAACCTGCAAAAAGAGGGGGTAGCAGATTAATACCTCCATGTGGAAAAAGGAAGTAGGCCATCAGTTTAGGTCAAATTTTACATTAAGGAGCGGAAGTGATTTATAAAATCTAAGTTGTTTCTTTGGGAAAATCTGCTCCAGTTTTGGATCCAACCCATTTGGTAGAATATTTATAAAATAAATTATAATTTGATACTACGCTATAGTTGATCAAAATGTTCTATGCAGCAAACTCTTTCCACAGAAGTGGGCAGCACTTCCTCAATGTGGATACCCTCTTAACACTAACACTACACTCTGACAAATCATAAGTCGGAGTACTCCTAGAGCATCAACACTTCTCCGGTGTGGTTAATCCTTTAACAATAACGCTAACACTATGCTCTGCACATAAAAATGCGGCATAGCTCTGTGTATATACACAAACCATAACATCAACACTTCACCAATATGGGTACCCCCTTCAATACTAGCACTACGATCTGACACATCATAAGTCAGAGTATTCCTACAGCATCAACACTTTTTCTCCAGTGTGGCTGATCCGTTAACACTAACACTAACACTATGCTCCAACACCTAAAAGCATAGCTCTGTGTATATACACTAACCAATCAGGAAACACCCTTCAATACTAGCACTATGGTCTGACACCTAAAAATGTAACACCGCTCAGTGTACACTTACCAGAGCACCAACACCCCACATGGTCTTGTTGTAGAGGAACTCCAGGTTGTTACGTCTGAAGTACAAGAAGCCTGCCACCATAGCCAGGAGGATGCCAAGGGCGATGGTTCCAGAGTAGTTGGGTGGACGGAAGATACGGATCTGAAAGCACAAAATGAGACAAGTTAAAATCTTAATCGACAGACCAGAATTTAAATTTGTTTTAGCTAAAAGAGGAAGTTGAGTTCTGGGAAGAGGTGAAAAATAATTTGTGAGCGTTTTCATTGTATTATGCAAGTGTGGAAGAACATCAGAAATGTTCCCTGAAAAGCATGGCTCTTCAAATGCCTTAATATTCTAAATATGGCATGTAACAGCATAAAAATTGAGACAGATTTTAATGCCACATGTTTGTGTAGTCTTTCATCCATATACATCTTTCTGTGTACAGTGCGTGTAACTTAATCAAGACTGGGCCAAATTTCTTATCATTTTGATGATTCCAGAACCTTGCAGTACACAACAATACTTATATGCTAGATGATCAACCTTTTCTGAGCGATTCCAAACCGGTTCTTTCACAATGCAATCGCATGACCAGAACTCAACTTTATCTTTTATCTTTATTGTGCATTCTATGATACATGAATCTATCAATAATCGACTATTCCTAAAAAAAAAAAAAAAGGTAATTGACAAATCTCTGTGTACTTACATGTACATCTGTCCTCTCGGCAACCCACTTGGCCAAATTCTCAGCTTGAAATCCCAACCTGCAATTAGAAACACAAAGTTTATGATTATTAACTGCTGATTATATAACACATACCGGTATAAGGCTTGAAACACAGCACATACTGACACAATATCTAAAATTGATGGCCTTCTTTTTCTTCTTCAGTAGACGTACAGGTCACCCTATTGTCTTCGATCTTAGAAGAAAAAAAACATAGTGTGATGATGTATCCCGATTCTCTTGATTTGTCATTTTTGCCAGATACAAATGTTTTAGACTTATAAAAAGTACAACAACAAAAAAGTGTTATATTTGTCGAGTTAGGTGACTAACAACAACTACTAGAACATTTGAATATAGTTTAATAAAAACAACATAACACACAAATACCAAGTATTTTCTTTTGTCTTTGCATTAAACTAATATAAGCCCTTATGTTTCTTGAGAACATCTTAAATTTAATGAATATTTATCATGACGCTACATACAAATTGCCTAGCAAAACTTACAAATAACTTGCAAATTGTATGGAAATGATCGATGATCAATGATTTTTTTTTTAATAGACTGCTAGGAAAAATTGCATATGCTTGTATGTAAACAACCAGGGGGACTGACGGCTGTAAGTCTTCTCCGGGGACTTGGTGACACAGATTAATGCCTTACCAAAGGACACTAGCAAATTGACTTGGTTTCAAACCCAAGATTTCCAGTTACGAGACCACTGCTCTACCACTGAGCCGTCACGCTTCCTCTTTAAGACTATTCCCTAATATCTAAAACTGTTGATTGCATGACTACTAATTTTAGCACAACTTACCTCTGAATGTCGTATGTGTCTCCTTTCTTTGACTTGCCTTTGGCTGGGAAATGGATGATACTGGGGGCAGAGTTGATCTTCAACTGTATTTATAAGCATGAAAAATTAACAAGAAATTTCAATGAAAGCAATGCACAGGGGCAATGTGGTCACACAAAAGAAGTTGTAGAAGTTAATACACAACAATTTAGTGTTTGTTCTGACTACACGAATCGTCACAACTGTAGAAATGCCTTAATGAACATTTGACTTTGGGATGTAAAAGTTTTAGTTTGAGCCCCAGCATGAAATTAGTAAGACGTTGGCACTCCTGACCCCAGTGTATTAAGAGATGGTACATGGTAGGTTTATTCCTTGAAATGCACTGTGCATACACAATGGTTGCCTGAGCTACATTGTATAAATGGGGTGATAGTCATTTTATTGTAGTTTGAAATTGAGAGGACATATTTAAAATGAAAGGAATGTCAATACCATCATTATCTGAATGAGTGATGGTGAGATAATTGGCCAAGAGATCCAAAACATTTTACATAATTTTTCTCCTGTTATGAAAATTGGTAGAGAAGAAGTAAAGACAATCTGCACTCACGCTTTTGAAGACATCAGCAGCCTCATCATAATCCACACTGGCAAAGAAAAGTCTGTTGGAGTAGGCTTGAGAGTAGCGCCATGAATTAGCCATTATCTGAAACTCCTCACCGACAGCCCTGTACCAAACAAGCAAGACAACCTCTGTCAGGGACCAATGGATAGCTATTATACAAATACTTAACGCACACTAATAATTCGGGTAAACCGACCTATTGGAATATACCTACAGTACAGCCTTTCAAGAATAAAGCGACAATGCATTATCTTATTGATCGCTGGATACAAAAATCAACTATAGCAACAGGGGCCCGTTCCTAGAAACCATCATAAATCTAACTTCTTGACTATCCCATTGTAACGTGTGTTAATTCTATAACACACGTTTCAATGGGATAGTCAAGAAGTTAGACTTATGACGGTTTCTAGGAATGGGCCCCATGTCTCTAATGAGTAATGGCAGGTAGAATACACATAACACAGTAGAGCAAGTGCAATACTTGTGATTACAAACTTAGAGCATGTCTTAGCCCTTCTAGTGCATAGTGCCATTTAAACCATACCTGACTTAAAGACACTATGTCCCTTTTGCAGCCTACATCAAATTCTGTAGAACTTTGCAGGAATATGTCATGTATGTCCTATCTGTGAAATTTAAACGTTAGCAGTGTCCTAATATTCAAATTATGCAAGGAAACCTGTTTACTTGCTAGACTTCACTGTGAGACACGATTGAGTGACTGACTGGCTTTTTTTCATCTTTGGTAATAACTCACATAAAATGAGCTGTAAAGGGTACATGAGCATTTGTCTACATCAATAACCCACTTCTTGTAATGGCCAAAATTAAACCGATTGAATCTTTGCACAGCATAAACGTATGACCATTTGGTACAATGGTCTGAAAAATCAGACTATTACTTATTGGCTCTATAGCTCCTAAGTCGATTCAACAACTAATAGTTGTTCTTTTCCCACTTGAATGAAAAGAATGGCAAATATGATTGAACATTTTTCTCAAAACACTTATATTTGTGATACAAGTTTTTCAACCTGATGTACCCAAAAAAGTTACACTTCATTTTTGGAAATGAAAATGCCACATTTGTCAATTAGAAATAGTTCTCCTGTAAAGAGCTTCAAACGCATGACACTTTATAAATGTGCAAAATTATGCTTTTCACATTTATTGATTCAATCGAGATAACTTCAAGACTTTAGGGAATTTCATAGTCTGGTGCTAGCAAAATGTTATGCAATGCATATCAGAACTTCTATTACTCTGATTTTAAAAGAAGATGGACAGTTCAAACAAGTTCTGAATAGTTGAATAAGAAGTTATCCTCATCCTCATCTTACACCCAATTGTGAGTCTTACTTGCATACAGAGCACTGCCTCTGAGGCTGCATGGCAGTCAGCATGATGACCAGGGAGTAGTTCCTTGGTGCACTCTTGGCGTAGAGTCTGTACTTGTCCCCGTTCATGCGGATGACGGCTCTCTTGTTGCCCCATTCTACCAGCTGCTTCACCCTTTCACCGAGTTGCTCCTGGAAAGGGGGAGGATGATGAGATTAAACTTTGTGAATTACACAATCCTACAATACATCATACAGTAAAATAATACAGGTCAAAATAATTTTTAAATTCTATTATACTTCACATTCATAGGTACGGGTTGATAGAGGCAATAAGCATGTCCTTCAGAATGTGAACAGGCAGCTCAATAACAAACCGTGCTGTAAGCAGAAACTGAACAAATTCTAAGTAAACAGAAATGCAAGTCTAGGGTCCGATCTACAGTACACCATGATCGCTTTATGATCAGTTAACTTTTCAAGTCGAAAATCTGCTATTATATCACTTTTGGGGGTTTACCTTTTTTTTCTGCAAGTTCATTAACCCCTGTGGATGAATTTAAAACAAACTGAAAAATACATTTTCAGTCTTTTGTATAACAGCTTTATGTAAGGGAAGTAATACAAAATTTAGCCATTGATCTGCAATACTGGGAGTCTGACAACACTTCTCAAAGATATGAGAGGGGTTGGGTATCCAGACACTAAACAAACATAAAGCCTTCTCTTGTGCCTTCGGATTTACATTCATCAATTAGCACTGACCATCATGAACATTGGTCCTTTATAGTCTTGTCAAACATAGTCTCTGAAGATTTATGAACTTTTGTTAGTAAATTGCTGCTTTAAATCAACTGTCCAGATATACGATCTGACCGGACACATTACCTCTGGGTATACAGCTTCAGATTGCTGTTCTAAACAAACTGTACGGATACACAACCTGTCCGGACACACAACATCTGTGTATATATACAATCAAACCTGCTTTAGTGACCACCTGTCTACAAAGACCACAATTTTTTGTTTCCCTTGAAAATGGTTTCACATTGAAACATGTACTAAAGGAACCTGTCTACAAAGACCACTTGTTGTGTTTCTCTTGGGCGGTCCCTATAGACAGGTTTGACTGTACATGGCTTCAGATATAGACCCTAGTAAGGTTTACTTACTTCCTTCTTGACTGCATAACTCTGCTGATCACAGATGATGACAGCCAAGATGGCTACTCCCAACAAGAACCCACACCTCGCAAACCTCATTCTGGTCACCTGAAATGTATTCAGAAACAATAAATAAATAATTACATACTGACATATATTCAGTTTAATATCTATATCTATATCAATTCTACAATGAATCGATTTACTTTATCTTTAGAATTCTACAATCAACAATTTTACTTGCACGCATCACGCACTCACACACTACCACTATTACTCCACCCTGGACAGCTGTCAACGTAGCTTTTTGGGTGCAACAAATTCAAGATTCAAGATTCAAGAATCAATTTACTTTATCTTTAGAATTAATGTAAAAACTCATATCATATCAAAACGTCTGCAAACTAAGAATTTTGAATTCTATGTGGAGTGGGATAATCCCAACATGTTATTGACAAACAAAAACATTTAAAAAATACTAGGAACTTTTTAAGAAAACTTTGATTTAAAACATGGTCACAAATTAAAATTGAAACTCACATTCACAAAAGAAAAATTAATTTGTAGGCCTATTCACACTGAAACTTAGTAAAATAGTCTTTTGGATGACCAAAGTTTGCACAGAATTTTTGAAATATTAGAAATGTGATGTTTGATCCATTATTTCTCATACTCAACTCAGTTTCATTTAGGTCTAGATCAATTACCACCAAATCATCAAATGGACAGCAAATGGGTGTGTGGCTTGTCAAACACTACACGGAAATGAACACTAGGGACTCACATACAAAAAATTCCCTCATATTTCCACACTAGCGCACAAAAATCACAGTTCACACGCTACAGAACACCTAGAAATCGTCTACAAAAACGTTTTTAACATATAAAAAGTATAATTTAACCTTTAATTTTAAGTAAATAACAAGAAAAGGAGTGACCACTCACCATCGCACAGCACACAAGTCAGATACAACTCAGAATGACCATAGTGCGCAAGCGCCATAAACAATATTCGATCAAGAGACTTTAGAATAAAGCCAATACACGGACTACATTCCTCATCGAAGCAGAGTGGCGCAGCGGAAGCGTGCTGGGCCCATAACCCAGAGGTCCGAGGATCGAAACCTCGCTCTGCTAAACTTTTTTTTTAATAATCATTTTCTGTATTTCATTTTACTATTATTATTAGTTTACACAAAAGTGAACGCTCAATGTACACTAATGTATGAAGAAATATACTAAAATTAAATCCTTTCATAGTTGATTTTGGGGGATTTTTCAGTTGCTGAGTTTATATTTACATTTACATTTGAAATTTAATCTGTATTCTTTCTGGTATATCATGTTTACTATACTCACCATGTAATAATGTTTTCATGTATACGTACGTCTTTATATGTATTTTTATGTTATGCAGGGCCCCAAGTATAACAGTATTTTAACTACTGATGCAGCTACCCTGTTGAAATAAAACGAAATAAATAGATAAACAAATTTATTGCATTGATGTTTAGATTTATGTTATATAGATATAAATGTTAAATGTTTAGATATAATGTTATAAACTACAGTCACATTGATAAACAAGGGGGTAAAATGTGTATCCTAGCCCGCCAAAAGCATATTACCCAGTGCTGGAGGAACAGTCGGTGTTACTCCCTCCCGTCATGATCTCGAACTGGGTAATAATGTTTATGACACAATTAATGAAGAAACTTATTCGATTTTCAAGGCTCAGCTGCCTAACCCCGCCCCCCTCGGATTAAACAAAAATGTCACTGTGCAATGTACTGAGTATGATAATTTATAACAAAACATTTGTAAAGAAAATATTTTTGGCTTCACTATACTAATATGAGTTTAAAATAACGATAACGAGGCTTAATTCTGTATAGTATTTATTATTGAATCCATTTTTTCTATAGTGCCCCCGCCCGAATCTTTCTTTATCATAATTACTTTGTCAGTCATGAGAGCACTTTAATCTGAGACAGCATTGTCCCATTTCTTGAATGAATGATGGTATTGTAATGTTTCCAATTATCAAACGTTTTCAAAGAGTTACCACATGTCATCCTGGTCTTTATACTAAAGTTCAAAAGTTCAAAGTTCAAATTTGTATTTCCATTTTCAACAAGAAAACTACAATTTGTATACAATAAATAAATTACAAACAACATTTTACAATGCAGTACAAAAAAGTATTCATAATGATAGTGGTGGTTATTTTACTTGACAGCTAAGAAAGCAAAATGAGCAATAAGTGAACATGTTATTTTTCTTTGCATAACAAAAAACATTATTAATGCTTAATAATAAAGTTACACAATTATAATATAACCGTACCATACAACCTAATTCAAGATTAAAAATAAAAATGTTGCTATACAGTCATATATGTCAAATTAAATGGCATAAATCACAATTACCATTCATTTTATTGATAGTCTTTTACACTACACCCCAGGAAAAGACAAAGACTGATTTTCACTTTGCATTTATTTTATAATTTAACTTCATTCTCAAAATATCCAGGCCAGTCAAAAGCAAATAACAAAACTGACGCAACCGGGCGGCAACGAATACATGCACAACGGGCAAAGTGCAATGTAATCTAGCAGACGGTGAATCATCTTAATCAAAAATAGACATGGTAATCTGGGCTGGTACAGAGAGCTCAATGTATCAATCACTAGTCACACGTTGGTCTACACTGTCTTATTCCATACCAGCTGGCATGCCCACAAATTTTTAACTCGATTCCGTGGCGCAACGGTAGCGCGTCTGACTCCAGATCAGAAGGTTGCGTGTTCGAATCACGTCGGGATCAAAACAGTTATTTTTGTTGGCTTGTTTCAGACGTATAATTTGCAAATTGTATTGTAAAGTACTTGTATGCCATTTAGAAACGAAAATGAGCATCATTATTTTGACTAATATCATTAATGAATATCATTATGATTATGATTATCATTTTTAATTATTATTATTATTATTATTATTTATTCGGCAAAGGAAAACATTACATATCAGTGTACACAATACAAAATAAGACATAGTTATCAACCATTGGAACGCCAGGGACAGAAAAAGTTAACTAAATTACTGTGGCATAAAGCCTCCTGTCCCAATTCCAATGGATGATTTACATAAAACAGAAATAAGAAGTTTAGCCTTGGGTTACCTTCAAAGTTGAAAAGTAATTAGGGCCTATTAAACAATTATAAGTGATGTAATTAAATGCAAAATGCGGTATCATTATTTCAGATACATTATATAATATTAATCAATTACAAACAAATGTATAGGCTAATTAACATTTGGCACATTGAATAAGTGTAGGAGATGTTGCTGTATATGGCAACATATTAAAATATAAAATAGCATATTAAATAGCATATTATAACCGTATCTCCCCTGACAGCAAGGAATAGAAGATACTATAGAAAATGAAAGGAAACTAAAAGAGACAAAGGGGGAGAGAGAGAGAGAGAGAGAGAGAGAGAGAGAGCAAAGAGAGAGGGAAAAGTAAAGCAAACAGAGAGGAGAGAAGTAATTATCGTTATTATCATTAGTAGAAGTAGTAGATGTAGGTAGTAATTTTACTTTATTAGTAGTAGTAGAAGTAGTAATAGTATATTATTGTTGATGTTGTTGTTATTGTTGTGATTCTCATCATTAAAGGTACTATGTCCCATTTGCAGGCCAAAAAAAATGAAAAGGTTAAATTCCAGCGGCATTTGAAAGATAATACTAATTTAGAACTTCCAAAAAGAAAAACGGGGGCCGCTAGTGAAGTCGGAAAATAACGACGATTAGTTTTCGAATCGACTTAAGAGCTATAGAGCCAGTAAGTAATAGTCTGATTTTCAAACCATTGTACCGAATGTTCGTACATTTTATGCTGCGCAAAGATTCAATCAGTTTAATTTTGGCCATTACAAGAAGTGGGTTATTGATGTAGACAAAATGCTCATGTACCCTTTACAGCTCATTTTATGTATGTTATTACAAAAGAAGAAAAAAAACAGTCATTCACTCAATAGTGTCTGACAGTGAAGTCTTGCAAGTAAACGGGTTTCCTTGCATAATTTGAATATTGGGACACTGCTAACGTTTAAATTTCACAGATAGGACATACATGACATATTCATATATCCTGCAAAGTTCTACAGAATTTGATGTTGGCTGCAAAAGGGACATAGTATCTTTAAGTTATTGAATTCATTTATTTTGTTGCGACATGAATAAGAAGCAGGCCAATGCGTAAAAGTTCTAAAGGGAAAATTTAAAGAAACCAAATCATAATATCAAATGGGAGACAAGGAAAAGAGAACTAATAAAGAACATCCGTTTTAATTATTCTCATCTTATTGTTGCAGTTTTGTTTATGGGGCACGTTTTGTTTATTGGAAGAAAATAAAATATAAAAGGAGGAAAAATTATGTGATCCCGACGTGATTCGAACACGCAGCCTTCTGATCTGGAGTCAGACGCGCTACCGTTGCGCCACGGAATCAAGATACAATAACTCGTACTCGGCCACTAGTAGACCCATTTTTGCTGGTATCTCCTTGGTAGACCCAAGTGTGACATGCGTGATGAGTCAACATTAATCTTTCATTAATCTCTTGTAATCAACTCCTTCCGTGCCACTAGGTTTTTGAACAGTCTAGGATTTACAATTTCTGAGTAAAATGTGAGGTTTTATTTGTTTTGTTCGATATTTAGCTTAAATTTTCTCTAGAAAGAATCTTCACAATGTCTGAACTTTTAAAACTGTTTTGGGAATAAAGAAATAGCTTAATTCATATTTAGGGGGAAATTCTTGAGCAGACCAATGTCAATAAAATAAGGGTCTTAACTTAAGAAGGTATTTAAATTTTGTAAGTAGGCTTTCCACTTTAATTAATTTAAAGTACTTATAATCGTTTTAAAAGATGAACGAAAACATCTTCATATTTTAGTTAAGATTTCAAAATTTGCTAAAATCAATATTCCCTTTTCTTCATTCTGTCATCATTTCTTGTTCACAACAGGCGAAGCAAATTATCAAGCAGTAAATATAAATGCAACCAACCAAGTAACCAGCAACCATTCTTCCTGCCTTCTGATATATCTGTCTATTTATTTATCTATCTATAATAAGAATGATAATAATAAACGATACTCGTGTAGTGCATATTACTATTCATTCCCTATGGACTTTGGAGAATAAAGAAGAGATGACTTTGAGCAAAAATAAGAAAATACAATCCAAATCAGATATCAACTGAGTTAAATTTTAATAGGGAGTCCACCCTGACACTAAAAATGGTTTTGAAAGAAGCATAAATGGGAGGAACATGTCCGTGAAAGTTTGAGCAAAATCTTGTTAAAAATAAGAAAGTTATGGACTTTTGAGGTTGCAATCAATCAAACACGAATTGGCAACTCTGTGACGTATCTTACGAGGTCCCCTCCTATTTACTTTATACAAAAAAAGAATATCGCGAGTTTCTATTGACTCTAAAGAGAATTGTCAATCATAACGGGCACCCAAGATATAATTATTTCAGCTTTATAATATGAAACAAATCTTTTACTTTATCAATAAGTAAGAAAATGAAAATTCATCTTCAGAGCAAATGAGAGAGACCTTGCAAGATACCTCACAACGTTGCAAATTTGCGCTCTACTATTACAATTTCACAATTTAATAACCTGAATATTTTTAAACGGATTTTGCTCATACTTTTACTAAACTGTTTCCCTTTTTTTTTTCCTGCAATTATTTAAATCAACAAAATACCAGGGTGGATTTCGGAAAATTGCTCATGAACGAATGAGTCATCCGTTTGTAATTGATCAACTGTGACCGCATCCGTAACAACATCAGGTATTATATCTGTCAATCTATCCATCCATCCATCTTTCTTGCTTAATTCTATCTGGTAATTCATCAATCTATTTTTCTTTCTATATCCTTTGTTTCTATATATATATATATATATATATATATATATATATATATATATATCTTTCTTTCTTTCGTTATATATATATCTTTCTATACATCTCTCTCTCTCTCTTTCTATAAACTATATATATCTCTCGTTCTTTCTTTCTATATATCTCTATCTTTCTATACATCTCTCTCTTTCTCTTACAACCCTATATATATATATATATATCTTTCTGTATATCTCTTCATCTTTCTATATATATCTCTCTTTCTATCTGTCTATACATCTCTCTCTTTCTACAATATTATGGTCTATCTCTCTCTCTCTCTCTATAAAGGCCTATATCTCTTTCTATCTTTCTATATATCTTTCTCTCTCTCTTTCTATATATTATATATCTCTCTTTCTTTATTTCTATATATCTCTCTATCTTTCTCTCTCTCTCTATATATATCTCTTTCTATCTTTCTATATCTCTCTTTCTCTATTTCTATATATATATATATATATATATATATATATATATATATATATATCTTTATTTCTCTCTCTTTCTCTCTTTCTATATATCTATCTACCAAGAAATCAACCAGCAAACCAATCAATCAATCAAACGACAAGCAATCAAAAATCAAATTAGTCAACTTTTTCAATCAGTGAAACAATCAATCTGTACACCAACAGATCACAGACCTATCTCAACTCACCAATCAATTGATAAACCAACTAATCATTGAAACTTTCATCAAATTCACCTTGTTAAAACAATCATGAGATCGATAGATAAATTAATTGAGACAAAAGGTCAATATCAATGTTCATTTTAACAATAGAAACTTGCTTTATTACCTCGTTCAATACTAACAAGGCTCAAACTTTATAAAAATTTTGAATACTGACACAGTTCATATTTCCCTCCTCCTCAACAATGTAAAAATTACATTTAAAGTTACTGCAGATATTATCAAAAATGTACTGTGAAATATGAAAGTATTTATTTTTCAAAGTAATTATACATTACAATTTACAAAGTGCTTGTAATATTTGACGAAAGTTGGAATAGATCTACATCCTTGTAGATAATAGGACAGATAAGTGAGCAATTTTTGTATCATAGATTACTTGATCTCTTCCATTTCAGTGCAGTATATATTTTAGAAATGAGAAGGAGAACATGTGTGACAGAGCAATTGAGAGAAGAGAGAGAGAGAGAGAGAGAGAGAGAGAGAGAGAGGGAGAGAGAGGGAGAGAGAGAGAGAGAGAGAGATGGGGGGGGGGGGAGTAGAGTACTTATGGTCAGAGTACAAATCATAGCATATATTTACCCAACAAAGAGATTGAAAAGTTTATAAATTAAAAAAAACCAATCTTATATACAATGTGTATTCTTAAAGGCCAAACAATTACGAATAATCTTTGATGTTCAAAGATAAAGACATATCTGTAAATGATTGGAAAGAACTTCATACTTGATAATCAATTTGGAAATTAAAACAATTTCTTTGGACATGCGATCACATACATTTAACAAAAAGTGTGTAGTGCGGGATAAATATAGATAAACTGTGTTTTTGTAGTGAGAGAATACATGGAGCAATTGTCATAAGCTAACATGAAATAAAAAGTCATTTGAATGAAATCATGCACATTACAAATAACTGCAATATTTTTAACAAAACATCATTGTCTCTGAACATCAATTTCAAATAAAGAAATTGAATACAGTACTAAATTTAGATAGGATCAACCAAACATTATGGCAATTCCAAGACTTCTCATGAAAACGTGATATAATCATTTAAGGAATGCGTATGTATGAGTAAAAAGTTTCATGGATAGGGAGCAATATATCATCTGTTGAAAGCCAGAAAAGCATTAACTCAGATTCACACAGAAATAAGGCCCTTTTGGCTCTCACCATATGATATAGCATTAAGTGACAATGCCAGATTAAAAAAAGATGTAAGTTGGTCAAAAAGGGTATTCTGGTATTTAGTACAGTACTTGGTGTCATATTGACCTTGATAAAACAGAGATATCCTTCCCTGACTGTTGGACGTATCTAAAACTTTGTGAATCATAGAGCACTTTTGTTTACGTAAAGGCAATATACCAGTGATTGCATATGAGATGCAAAATACATAAGTAGGCAAATCAATGGTTCAATGGAATTTGATCAAAATCAGTCTTAAGATTATATAGATACCTAGTTTGCATGTTCATGTAATTCATGTAAAGCAGTTAACATTTAAGATTGATAAAAATCATCAATGTCAATGAATACACATGAAAAATATTTTTATATAATTGAAAATACACTAAGAATACATATTTCCTGTCAGTGCTATTGCATGGCACATGACATTAAAAGTGCAAGTGAACTTTTTACTTTATAATAAATACATGAAAAGCACATACATAAAACTGTGACATTTATAAATAACTTCATATAAACAGATTGTCATCTTCAATACATGTGGTACAAATTCATTGAAAAATATCTTTAAAAATCTAGCAAGATAATGCAAAGATATCTTCCCAAACCCAAACAATTATATATTCAGCTATTCATACTTAACAAAGCTTGGACAGCAGTAAGTAATCTCAAGGCATATTTCAAATATAAAACATGACAGAAAGATAAACAACTTTACTAAGTGCCAAGTGCAATAAAAACATCTTCTTGTCTCATTCTATCCTACAATTAAAACTGCTCAAGTCTTAACAGAAGAACTAGGAAGGAGGGGTGCAAAACATTACATAACATCACCTTATTCAGACCTCTCATGTCAAATCAAATTAAAGCATGGAACTCTAAAACATAGCTATGAAAAGATTAAGTACAACTGTATGGGTATATTACATTTCAAGAAAGATGAACATTAAAGTTAACTAATTTGGTATCAAAGAGAACAAATATCTTAGCATAATAATAAAAGGAATGGCAAAAATTCATTACAATGTAATAACAGGAATGCAAAGTTTGAACACATAGTACTTAAATATTTGTTTTAAGTAAGAAAGTGCTGAATAAGTACTTATATGAATACATAACTTTGAACAATAAGTGACAAACTATATCTTGGCATCAAATATAAACTCTTGCAACATGTAATAATAACAATAACTTTGGAATAAGGCATTACACAAACTCTTCTTGTGTCAGGGAGGATTGAAGGACGATTTTTCCATTGCTTTCATGTAGCTGTGCAATGTCTTTGAACACACCAACAAGATTATCAAACCTAGGTCCCCACCCTAAGAGTCTCTCCAGACTCACATCTCCGTTGGTCTTTTCTTTCCTGGAATGTCCATTCTCATCCTCTGAGGTAAAGAGTGTGCTAAGGGAGCCTCCGCGCGAATCGAGCCGCTTCTGTTTAAGGGCACCATTCACATGAGGAAGCACGCTATCCTCCGCATGCTCGATTTCAGCAAGTCTATCGAGTATTGCAGCCTCGGTGCTGTTGAATCCTCCATGTTTTCCATACTCTGAGTCCATCTCAGAGCAGGTAAAGGAGTCATTTGTATCGTCCGATGTGGAATCGGGAGGTTCTAGCAAACGCGATGGATCACATGGAGTATCGATGGGGCGCTCTCCACCATGAACCCGGCTGCTGTTGGACGATAGGTCTTCAATAGTGCTAGCATGGCTGCCTGACATTAGGTCAGGCCTTGCTGTGTTCAGCTGAGCTACTTCTTCAGCTGTCAATCCCACAACCAAGGGGCTTTTACTAGTCCTTCCCTTTGAATGCGGTTGGCTTTTGCCATCGTGCGACAGGGGTGTTGTCATTCTAGCTGGTTTACCCCCGCTCCGGAGACTGCTCACGTCGGAGCGATGAGCTTGGCTGCGTAGCTCGCTCTGGAAGCTACGGTCTGAGTTGACAGGACTGCTTATGTTTCTGGCAGGAGTTGCACGGCCACTGCTTGGAATGGATCCCATGCGCAGCGTCGGATTTGCACTATAATTGGAATGGAGTCCTGGGCTACGTCTTAGCATGGCGTTTTGACTATCTAATGGGGTACTGTGTGCTAGCTCACTTCCTAATGGGTTGGGATTATGATGAGACCCAATGCTGACTGGACTCAGTCTGGCTGGCGATGCCTGGATCCTGGCAAGCATTGGGTTCTGGTTCTGCCTATGCTTTTTCTTCCTACGATTCCTATTTCCTTGGTCGTGGAAGTGTTTATAGTGATAGGCAACATCTATATCCGATGCTGCCAAACTACTCGCATTCTCTAGATCGTAGTGCTCTGCTTCATCCAATTCACGTGGTCTAAGGTTTTCCATTTCAAATTTAACATGCTCTCCTGTGTCATTTTCCATCATGAGGGAGTTGCTAGAAGGATTGCTGTTGTTCTGCTGCATGATGTTTTGCTCTATGATGTCTGGTGTCTGGCGATGGATCATCCCAGACACGTTCACCTTCCCATCAGGACCAATCATGGTGGCATCATCAAAGGTATCTGCAAGGAACCCTGGGTTGACCGATGAGGACAGGACTGACACCTTAGGATTCTGCAGAGCAGCTTGCTGATTGGCCTGCTTCCGCTTCATGTTGCCACTCCTCCTTCGAATGAAGAAAACAGCCGCGACAATGAACACAACCAACAGGAGCAGGATCACGATCGGGATCACAATGTAGATGACGTTCACTCCTTCTCCTTCTCTAGGTCCTGTTCCCCCTTCACAGTAGTCGCCGCTGTATCCCTCGGCACATTCGCAGGTGACCGAGCCTGTGCCGTCGGAGCAGACACCACCGTTTAGGCACACATCAGGTACACATGTCACTGGAACACAGGTGTAGTAAGTCTCAGAGGGAACACACGCCTCACCTTGGCTGCAAGGATTGAGGGCACATAGATCGGCAGGGGAACATCCTTCACCTGTACCAGCTGAAGGAACAGCTTCAAACCTCTGTGAGTCACCATCCAGAGGGAGCCCTTCACCATTCATCTGGAAGCCATCTAGACAGCCAGTGAAGCCTGGAAGTATGGGGGGAAAAGAGAGAATTTTTTTAAAAATACAGTCAGATGTATGATCATCGTTTTTTAAATAAATTCGTTCTAAGCAATGAATGATGTATCACGTCTCCACTTTTTGTTCTAGCTGACCTACAGGTATACCCGGTATATCAATTAAACATCCCTCATATTCAAACTATGGAATTATTCAGAATTATTTGAACTAGAGTAAAGCTAACTCAACAGGAAGTATGAAGCTAGTACTGAATACCTAATGGTTATTGAGAAAAGAATAAAACCAGAAAACTATATCAAACTGGTACTGGGCTCTTTTTGTTGATTTCTAACTCCAATGAGTATTGTACAATACTCAACTGTTGAAATAATTTTATAGTGTAGTATTCATTCTTCATGTGGCAACACCTGACATCTTTGTTCCCTTTCTCACCGAGTACAATCCATGACATCTTACCTTCAATACTCCTCCCATTGATCACAAGTGGCGTCTCTGCGCCACCCAACGCCATTCCAGTCAGTCCCAGCCCGGTGAACTCATGAGGGTCTGCAAACATGGCCGACTTTGGAGAGTTATCAACGGTCAGCGAGACTTGACCGCCGGACGATGTGAGGGTGATGTTGTGCCACGCCCCATCTGTCAGGGAGGATGATGGGATGTTGATGATTTGTCCGCTGCTGGAAGAGCCAGTCCCGTAGCTGTACATGACGGAGCCATTGGAGAGCTAATTTAAGATGAAAATAGAAGAATATGTCATAAAGACATTTGAACTAATTATACATACTGTTTTGAAATGATATGCTGTAGAATTAAAAATATTCAAAGATATAAACCACAGTTCACAAGTCATAAAAAGTCACCCAAATTAAAACAACATGAATGTACAGTCCACTATATTTCAGCATCCACTGTTATCATAAAGACTGCATTTGATTCCCTTCACCCTAGTTTCCTATTGACACCATGTGTAAAAAAAAGGGAACCAGTACAATTATGCATTCATCTCCTGTCCAGGAAAATGGCAACTTTTAGTCCCTTGAATGGTCCTTTAACAAAAGTTTGAACAATTGGCATTTAAAGGGGGTGTAGCATGGCAAATACTGGTTAACGCCATCTACGACTTCTTTTGAACAACTGCACATAAACAAATGGACTTGATTAACGGTCAGCGCGTCTGTAGTCGTATTATACCCAATTGGCCCTAAGTCAGGCCACGAGAAAGACACGTAGTATTGTCATGCTATACCCCCTTTAAGAAGACTCTCAGTGGGATGGGACTTTACCTGTAAAGCGGTGAACTCTGCATCGGAGGTGACATAGAGCAGTAGGCCATCCTTGACACCGGTCCTGAAGGAAAAACTGACTGTTTCCGAACCACTGGCCCTCCTCCTCCTCCTCCTGGTCAATACCTTAGCATCATCGAGCAGAGCCTGGCGCTTGTAGTCCTCCTTTACCATGTAGTCCACGCGGCCACCGCCTCCAAATGACACAGAGTTGTTGTCTGTGAGGAATGGTGGAATAAAAGATGACAATGATTTAGATACATCTAGAAGACTAATGGCAATAAGAATAACAGAGACACAGATAATGTTAAAGTCTAACTTGGAATAAAAGAAACAGGCAAGGGTTTGAGAGATATATATTGATCCCTAAATTCTAAAAGAACCTCATGAAAACAAAATCTATAAAGATACCATTATGCACAGAAGTAGTAAGACATAACTGGTGAATCCAGTTTGACTCAAAAGTAGTCTTCAAAATTTGTCTTTAGTATAAAGCATCAAAAAGTTGCAAAAATATATTTCTCTGGTTTACTTGATTCAATTCTTGACAGATCAGTTCTTGACTAACAAATACAATATTACATAGGGTTTCTTTACAGCTTCCTTGGTTTATTTCCAGTTTCTAATTGACAAATAATTTGAATTAAATCCGAGTTACATACTGCTAAAGCAAAAAATTTATAAAAACTTCAGTATCCAAAACTAACCTTCTGCGCATGTTGCTCCCGACGCCATCTCATCGCAGTCACACCAAGTCTTCCACCAATCATCCACGCAGACGCTCCCGTCAGAGCAAGACGTCTCTCCGCATCCCTCTCGGATACACCCCTCTACAAGATTGGAATGATCCCGGGCATTGCTCATGCTCAGTCGCTCCCCATTCACCTCGATGCTGTTCATGCAGCCAACGAAGTCCGCGGCAGATACCTGGGAGGCGCGGGACGTGATCTCGGCGATGTCAGAGACTCCTCCCACGGTGAGAGGATTGTTATCGAATGCAAGAGATCTGGAAGGAAAGAGAGGAGATGAAACTTAAGTGATAAGGTTCATTTTGTTGATTAAAAGTATTAAAAATACAAATAAAGAAAAAGTACAAGTCTTATACATCTTCATTTTAAAATGAAGTTCAGGGCCCCATTTCACAAAACTTTCCATCAGTGACAAATGACAGTTTATGTTTTAAGCTACTGAAATCCTTGCTTCCGATTGGTTATCAGCAGATTTGTCACTGATTTTTTGTCATTTGTCATCGAAAAAGGGTTTTGTGAAACACCCACCAGGACTGATATAAAATTTAGCCCACAAGTCCAGTAATATAAACAAAGGATACCTTAATTATATATTTAAATTTTGCTTACATTGTAGTTTCTTGGGAAGCTCTGCATGCATCAGTAGACAAGCTAGGGCAATCTTCATCAAGGATGTTCAGATCAACACTCTGGAGGAGAAAAAAAGATTACAAACATGGATAAAATATATGAATTCATCGTGCAATTATTTTCTTGTTACATGAAATGGAAAGAAATGTCAACAATTTTTACTTTCACAAAAATTAATCATTCAAATTGTCATCAATATTGGAATGCAATAAAAAATATAATAATAATTCATATTCAAACATTAAGAGAATGAAGTACCAATATCAATACATGTAAAACAACGCTACAAAATCAAAAGGATCATAATTATACACAATGAAATAGGAAGAAAAAAAAACACCTTCATATTTGAGCACGTTTACAATAAACCCATTCAAAAACAAACCATGATTTATGATGATTGATATGTCTATAAAGTACAACAGCTCCATGAATCATTGTAATATGCAATTTAGCATTTTACCATATACTAGGTTAGATGTCGGCAACTGTAACAGCTAGTGTTTCTCTCTCATTATGTAATTAAATGTAAAAATGGGAGGAGTTGATGCACTGGAGTACGTGCAAGGATCCATGGAATAGCGTACACTGGAGATCAGTCATTAATTACTCCGGGTAATACCAGAAGCTGGGGAACATTTAACCTTTGCCCTCATGTGACCCTTACAACGTTATTTATCACTGAGCCCCTAAACAGGTTTCGCCTGTCAAAGACGCAAACAAACAAACAAACAAGAAGAAAGATGCAGACGTAGGACGCTTTTAGGATGATAAATATTTCCATGATCGCGTTGCAATTGAATCAGTTTTCATCAAAAGACATTACTGGCAAGGAAGTATGTTGATGATTAGAGCAGTGGTACGTGGTTTTCTAAGGATACAAGGGTTATTTTTAAGGGTGAGATATTACGAGATTACATTCATGTGCTTGACGACCTCCCCAAGGAACATGATCTCAACCTAAGAATGAGGCAGGAAAACAGGTGCTTAATGTAGCATACGCGGTACGCCGTCATAGTGAACTGACGTTAACAACTGTCTTGGGTTTTACTTGATTGGTCTGATCAAACTTTCAAAATATATATATTCTCGTTCACATTGTTTATTCTTTTGAAGACATATGCACGATGCCCAGGTGCGTAGCTCCAGGCTCCACTCATCGCCATTAAAATACTGACGTTTACAACTGTCTAGGGTTTACATGAATGAACCGATCAAACTTCTTTTTATAAAACCCATGACAATTTTTTCTTTAAAAGATGAATATTGCTCTTGTTCTCCTTGGTTGCTGACCTGTTTAGACCTATTCCAATGAAAAAATTATGTTCTCTCAAAGAAGAGTTCAAAGCTTTTCAGACAAAAAAATCTTAGCTTGCAGTTATTTTCAATCAAATAAATATAGCTATAAATGAAGCAGAAAAGGAGAAGGGGGAAATGGTTGAGGAAGGTTTACACCCAAATCCTGAAAAGATCCACTGTTGATGAAAAAAAGCTGGCCCCATCCCCCTGTAATTTTTTTTGGTTCTTTTGAGTTGCCTGAAATGCATGAATCAATGAACACAATATCCAACTCCAAAAGTCACCCTAAGAATACATTCATGTACATGTTATTTCTCTCATTTATCTTCTACTTTGTACAACAAAAAATAAAATCATACAATGTCATAGAATTAAAAGCAGCAATCTATAAATTATGCACATAAGGAGTGAGTACAACTCAATTTTAAATCCTCTGAATTCATCAAGTGTTTTTGCTGATCCCTGCACCATTCATAGACAAGTACCACTTGATGACCTAGTTAACTGTGAGGGAGGGAGTGGATAAATATGGCTATAAAGTGCACTGTTTATTGCAAGTGATGAGTTGAATGCCCGCCTCGGCCACATAAATCATTCTACGCTTCACTTCTAGATACAACTAGTAAATTTTCTCCTACACCAATAAAATCATGGATCCATCGCTTGCTCATAATAAGTCATTGTCACGTTCGAAATTATCCATTTCTTTTCCTTCTATGGTCTTTTTATCCTTTGTTTTAAGTCCTGCAAAAGGCACGTAAGTATGTGTAAATAAACTTTGTGGGAATGTTTTGACGTCAAGGCTACAAGCTTTTGTCCTGTCAACTATAATTCACCGAGTTAATTTCACGAATGAATGCTATACCAGGAAGAGTTGAATTAATGCACATACTGAATGGAAGTTAATATTGTTAAACTTATGAAATGATCTTTTCAACCACCATGCTTCAGAATTTAATCGCCTGAAAGTTACTTTTCAAATATGTATGCTTTATGATGTTCAGCTGTCATATTTCTTAAATGTTTGGTTTTTCCTAATTTAACGATCAACCAGAGGATATTTATTATCTTTTCGACACTTCTGAGCGTTATGATTCCTGGGAGAACATTACTTCAAGTACTCCTTCACCCAGATCCAGATGTTATCATAAACATCACCCCATGATACAGTCAACTTCTATACCTTTACAAGCAAGCCAAGAGCTAATTAAAGAGCTACCGGTAGTGTGGGGGGTGTTCCTACACTTGCTCCAAGCTCTATTTTGTCAAAATTATAATGTTCAGGTTGCAAATGGGTTTAGATTAGGGGCGGGTTTGGAGTTCTGATCATGACATTTGATTTTTTGTTTATAAAACAGAAAAATTGAAGGAATCCATGACAAAAAAACCCAGATACAATCAACCAAATCACCAAATTACCAGATCTAGAGATCAACTTTAAAGGAGCATGCTTTTAGCAAAAGAACATACTGGTTCTGTAAATGTGTCATCATTGAAGAGGAATGAGATGAACTTGAGAAAGGAGACGTTTGTGAAATCTAGGGGCCCTGTGTCACATGACTTTAGAGAGAATTTTTATTGGTTGGCCAAAGTGACAATGAGATGACCCTATGCCTCATAAATTCCACTTTATGTTGGTTATTCGGGGCAGTGGGGGTAGGTATGTGATGGTATTAAATAGCCGATTTGAGCTGCTTGAAAAATTGGTGATATCTGATTGTGAAGAAGTTGTGCAACTTTCTCTTTGTATTTAATTTGTAACAGACAATATTTTCTTTCATTTACTTCACATTGATAGGAGCATTTAGAAACGTACATGTAGCTTTTTATTGGGTATATACCATTCGGGATAACCAAATTTGACTGAAAAGGGACTCATACACATGCTGGAGGCCAATATGTTCGGTACAACAGAAATCTTTGAACATAGAAGTGTCAGAGCCTGAAATCAGGAAAAATACTGAAATGTGATGTCCTGATTTGTTCATTAACCTTTTTTGAAAATATTCTGGTGAACCAGTCTAGACCTAAAGAAGAAACATTCACAGTTCAATTTCCTATCGTTGCAAATTTGAAATGAATTCTTGATATGAAACATCATCCAAATACATCCAAAAGTTAGTGAAAAATGTTGCTCGCAAGCAAAGAAAGCTTTTGATAGATGTTGTTTTGTTCAAGAACCAGGGAACCTTGATATGGAAACCATATGATGCGGGAACGCTTGGTGGTCTCGTTTTAAAGTGGGAGTTATTCTGAACAAGAAACCAAATGAGATGATGATGATCTTTTTCAGGGGGAGATCCTTTTGATGACAACATAAATAATGTCAATACAGCATTCAAAGCGAAGAAAATAAAGTGGTCAAAACTCTCTCGAGTCTTTGCAAGAGGTAGGTAGGGTTAGACACGGTGATTAGATGTAATACAAAAACAACTATTTTGGTCCCCTTGATTGAATTTCAACTCTGGAAATTTTGTGACTTTCCCTTCTATGTCTGATAAACAAAGAGTACACAGGACCTCATTTGTTTTTCATAGAAGTGACTTAACATATGAAATTGCTTACAGTCCATCTGCTTTCGCATTCCAAATAATCCATACTAACGATGATGATGATGACGATGACTATTAGTACTGCGATGATTGTTTTAGTACATGGCTAGACGGGAGACCGCCATAATTCAGAATCACTAGGGGGATAAATTGTTGCAGCTGGAATATTTGGAGTTATATCATGCATCACTTATTACCCCTCAATTCCCCCTCCTGTCCCCCTTCTAATGCCCTCACACCTCCAACCTCCACCCGACCCCCCTCCCCCTCCCAAATGTTACTGCAGATAGAGAAATAAAAAAAAAACTTTCTCGGGATAGGTATACAGACCATGAAATGTAACAGAGCAAACTAAGCAGTTCGGGCTGGCTGAAATGAACACCTTTTTTCTGACACAGAGTTCATGAACAGGTAGTCCATCATTACCACTCGTGTTCTCAATAATAATAATTGCAAAAGATATTAGAATGTCTCCTATCTACTGTTTTATCGTCAGTGTCTTGACACTTCTTCATTTTGAACTCTCACCCATATTGGGTAGTAAAAATGATAACAAGAACTTCTTATGATGAAAAGGTGATTTTATTGCTCTGCTTCAAAGCAAAACATTCGCATTAAGGGTATTATCTCAACTTTTGTCTGGCTATGAGGTAAAATTGTTTCAAAATAACGAAAGATTGCAAAGCTATCCATCAAAATTAAAACATTTCTCAAATAAAAAAAAAGGTGAATTTGGCTTTTGGCTCCTTAATTTTGCTGAAAAAAGGCTACAAATTTCTCTTAACCCACTATATGACAGCCATAGTGCTTGAAACTTCCCAGTTTGATAGCATTTCACTACAAACTCGGGCCCAATTCATAAAATTCAACTTCATTTGAAAGTGTTTAAGAGGCCCTTTAACAGGTACATGCCATAAAGATCTATGGATAATTTCAAGGGACATGAACCTACCCCACACCATAAAAAATTATCTGTACATTATCCTATCCTTCAAGAATGAGTGAGAAAACACATTCTCTTGTTAATGTTTCTGTAGGTCACCAACATGATACATAACCTAACCCCCAGGAAGAGAGAAAATGATGGATTCGGTGCTAAATCTTCCCTCTTTTGGCATTTGAAATAAGCAATTTTTATGTCTCTATTATTATCTTTTCATATTATGTTCCACTGAATGAATGTGTCCATATAAATATTACTGCCTGTGTCTGTGAGCTCCTTTCATCATCTTTATTGTTAAACTTACTTTAGTACTTAAAACAATTTTTTTGGTACTGCTTCATGGTTATGAACTGCTCTTCTGCATTATTGTAAAAAAGTGAGATCCTCTACCAACTTGCAGATGTTACTGAAGACTGTGGCATCAGTTTTCCATGAAAATTAAAACATTTCCCGGAAACAAACTACCATATGGTAAACTTCATATCAATCTCATCTGCTCCGTTTCAGAATCAAATTATCTTCCCCATTTCTTCTAAAGGAATTCAACAATGTATACATTTATGAAAGGAATCACGCTAAAAGGGAAAACTTGAGATACGGTTTATTGCTTGAAACTTGCATAACCCTCACCATCCATTTCCCTTTTTTTTTTAAATACTTGAAATGGTACAGTCAAACCTGCTTTAGTGACCACCTGTCTATAAAGACCACATTTTTTGTTCCCCTTGAAAATGGTTTCTCATTGAAACATGTAATAAAAGTACCTGTCTACAAAGACCACTTTTTGTGTTTCCCTTGGGCGGTCGCTATAGACAGGTTTGACTTTACTTTCAATAATACACAAATACTTCAATAAATAGGAAAAGCATTCTTACCATTCCTTCCAGTCTGACTTCCACCTTATGCCAGTCACCATCACTGACAGGCTTGCTCGCAGAGATGGAGTTCTGTCCAGACCCGAAGTTGAACGACAACTGCAGCCTACCATCCAGGATCTCCAGTGCCACAAATTTGGCATTGCTGTCAGTGAAGCTGTCATGGTTATAGAACAGGAGGGCCTTGGTGGAGACGGTGGAAAACTCCAGCAGGATGACAGCAGAAGTGGATTGAAGGGCAGAGCTGGAGATGTAGGACCCAGCCTGGAAGCCGATGGTGTCATACTGGCAGCGGTTACCCCAGTGGCTGTTGTCACATTGGCACACGAAGGTGCTCCCGGACTCAACGCAGCTTCCTCCATTCACGCAGGGACTGGTGCTGCATGGGCCGTTCTCGCAGTAGACTCCGGAATAGCCTGTGGAGCACTCGCAGTAAAAGCCATTGATAAGGTCTTGACATTCACTGTTGATGCAGGGATTGCTGGAACACTCATTGATCTCCACTTTACAGTCTTCTCCGTTGTATCCAGGAGCACAGACGCAGATGTAGCCTCCGATAGCATTCTGGCAGGTGGCACCGTTCTTACAGGTAGCCTGCCCGCAATAGTCTGTTGGGATCTCACACCTTTGACCACTGAACTCAGCTGGGCAGGCACAGGTAAAGCTATGGCTGGTCTGAAGCCCAACAAAGATGACTGGGTCACTCTCTGTGATCAGTTCCTCTAGATTGATGTTGGTCTCGTGGCTGCAAGTGCCACTGTTGAGACAAGGACTGTCTGAACATGCCGTGTAATCAATTGTCTCGATGGTGATATCCGATTGACTCTCGAGTGTTGCCTCATTGGCCTCTAGAAGATCTACAAGGTCATCATGCAAGAGGTGCTGACTCCCTTGCTTCTTGATTGCTAGGACAAGATCAACCTTGTCAAGATCTGGATGATCAGTGATACTGAGCACAATCAGAGTTTCCCTGCTGCCTAGAAAGGCCGACAGTGAAGTCTTGAAGCGATCATATGAATTAGCCAAGAAGGCCTCTGCACTGGTGTCCGCAAGGCGTAGCGTCACGCTGTTTGTGAGTGTGTCATTTGTAAAAGACTCATAGACCACACTGAAAGAGGATGTCACACTCTGATGTGAGCCATCATTACCAGATACTGATAGATCAACCACAGATTCTGTTGAGTGAGAAGCTGAAAAGAGGTCACAGTTTGATTGGATGGAAAACTTTGATAAATCTCCACTCGTTATCTGGCAGAAGAAGGTGTCATCAGTATCTGGGTCTATCGGTTTGACAGAACCGATGACACCACCAGGGAACATAGACTGGAACATCTTCACTTCAATACGAGCCTGTCGCAGAGTAGATGGGTTGTCATTGCGATCTGCGATTGTGATGTGGATAGTTGACGTTGCAGACATTGCTGGAGACTCTCCATCGCTGGCTTCAATTTGGACATAGTAATCAGATTTGACTTCCCTGTCAAGTGTCTGGGTTGTACGTAGCTCATCTCCAACCAACCTGAATGCAGAACTGTCTGGAGAGGTGAGGAGGGTGTAGGTGAATTGAGATGGATCAGGGTTGGAATCAGGATCTGTTGCACGAAGTGTCATGATAAGCTCGTTTGGAGGTTCATTCTCAAACACAGAGCCTTCTGCAGCGTCTCCAATGAACACAGGGCCGTTGTCATTGACATCATCCAACTCTACACTAACTACTGCTGTGCCCGTCTGCGGTGGGTTTCCTGTATCAATGGCAGCAACCGTCAAGAAGTAGACACTCAGAGTCTCACGATCGAGAAGACTAGTTGTTGTTATTCTGCCAGTTTGTGCGTCTATATGGAACGCATCTCCTTCGTTACCTCTGAGGATAGAATAGTTGAATTGACGGAAGCTGGGTATTTCATCATAATCAGCAGCAGTAACTACAGTAACATCAGAACCTGGAGGTTCACTCTCAAGGACCCTGGCCTGGTATTGTTCAGAAGAGAAGACAGGAGCATCGTTACCGTCATTGACATGGATTATCACTTCTGCCTCGTCAATATCAGCTCCAGTTATAGGTCCCTCATTTTTGGCCAAGACTGACAGTAATACTGTGTCTGCTGTTTCACGATCAAGCCTACCATTTTCATATGCTACAGTAATCTGCCCACTTTCAAGGTTGACATTGAATCCTTGCAAGTTACTGCCACCGATGAACAGATAGTTCACAATGCCATCATCACCAAGGTCGTCATCTGTCGCAAGGACAACGCCAACAGGAGCGCCATCTGTAGCATGTTCGTTCACATAGAAGTCATACTGGTGCTGGGTGAACTGTGGATAGAATTCGTTCTCTCCCAGCAGTGTCACAATGACATGAGCATAGTCAACCATAGTAGCTTGTTCATTGGTAGCAGCAACTGTCAGGTGATAAGTGGTCTTCCCTGTTTCATAGTCTAGGTTCCCTTGTGTCAGAATAAGTCCTGTTTCTGGATTTATTGTAAAGAAGTCTGTGCCATCCCCTCCAGAGATGATATATTCAAAGTCTGCATTAGTGCCTGTGTCGGCATCTGTTGCTGTCACTGTTACAACAGGTGTAGCGCTGGGTGAGTTTTCAAAGACATCAGCTCTGTATTCTCTGGGTAGAAAGAATGGTGGGTTATCATCCACATCTGTGACTGTGACAATCAAAATGGCTGTTGCTGATTGAGAATACATGGCTCGGTCCTCTGCAGTGACTTGAATCTGGTGTTCATCTGACGTTTCTCGGTCCAAGCTCCCCACAAGACTCACGATTCCAGACACTGCATCAATGCTAAACAATGCAGCATCCGCTCCACTGATGGAATATGTAATCTCTCCGTTTATTCCACTATCATCATCTTCGGCACGGACAGTTGCGACATAACCTCCAACATCTTCAGCAATAGAAGAGCGATAGGTGTCATCATCAAAGACAGGAGCGTTATCATTTGAATCGGTGATGAGGAAAGTGACTGTGGTTTCATCTTCCTTTTTAATGTTACCGTTGTCAGTAGCCTTCACAAGCAGCTGGTAGGTAATTCCCACATCTCCGGCTAAAGATACTCCTTTTGTCAAAATCCAACCAGTGTCTGCCTCGACATCAAACTTCTCTGTTCCGTTACCATCAGAAATGGAGTAAGTGATGGCTGCATTGGATCCTGTGTCTTGATCAACTGCTACTACTTGGAGGACGCGTGTATTTGATCTAGTGTTCGCTGTCACAGGTGAGAAGTAGGATGGGGTTGCAAAGACAGGAGTGTATGAGTTATCTTGTGTAACTGTTATGATGACACTTGCTTCACCATATAATGCAGGTGTGCCACGATCCACAGCAAAGACGCTGAAGGTGTAAGTATTGGGATTTGAGGTATCTTCGGGTGAGGGTACGATGTATGAAATGGGAGGAACAGGGAAGATCCAGCCCCTGTTGTTGATAGTCTCAACACGGAAATGCTCTGTCATGGTCTTTAGGATATAGTCCACCTGGCCATTATCTCCATCATCTGCATCTGTAGCTGACACGGTTGCAATGACATTGCCTGAAGAGAAAAAGATCTCGGGATAGGTTGTATTGATAGAGTTTTCTGTAAACACCGGGGCATTGTCATTTGTATCTTCGACACTGACGAGCACCTGTGTTTGCACCTCGTGAGACGAGTCTGGATCAAATGATTTGACAAGCAGGTAGTGGACAGCTTCATCTTCAAAGTCTAAGGAGCTGTTCAGTGTGATTTCACCAGTAATTGGGTTTATGGCAAACAGGGATGATTGTCCACCAGCTTCTATTGAGAACTGGCTGAGATTATTCTCATCAGGGTCCGTGGTATGCAGGGTTACAACGTGAGTGCCTGGGGGTGCATCCTCAGGGATGGTGGCATCGTACATTTTGGTGAAGGACATTCTGTTGTCATTGATATCTGTAACTGTCACAACCACAATGGCTGAGCCCGACTGTGACGGGTTCCCACCATCTGTAGCCTCAACTGTGAGTATGTAAGATGCTACTGTCTCCCTGTCCAGGGGTTGAGTTGTTGTAATTACCCCAGAAGAGCTGATGTCGAAAGCATTGTTTGTGTTGCCTAACGTGATGGCATAGGAGACATCCCCGTTGCTTAGGCTATCCTCATCGGTTGCTGACACAGAGACTACTTGGACCTGTCCACTCTGTTCCTCCACCACACTTGTAAAGTAGACGGACTGGTCAAACAATGGAGCATTATCATTCACATCCAATACTGAAACTTGCAATTCCACAAAGTCGGATAGCTGGGTGTTAGCCGTGTCCGTTGCTGCAATCCACAACGAGAATGACTTGCTCTCCTCGTAATCAAGCTCCTTAATGATGCTCACCTCACCACTCTGACTTCCAACTCCGAAATGCTCACCATGGTTACCCCCAGCGATGGAGTACGTCACAATGCCTATCGCGGTCACTGTTGTGACCGTCATACCTGTCATAACGTTTTCGCCGTAGCTGGAACTCGTACCGGAGAATGGGAAAGTGATGTCTGGGAATGAAGCAGTGCTGAAGATCACTCGAAGCGAAGCCACTGCAGAATTCTGTCCACTCGCCACGTTCTCAGCGGTAATCTGGAGATCATAGGGAGAGTTCTCATCAGTGAAGCCCTGTGCGGTGATAACCACACCTGTGTCTTGGTCCACAACAAATTTACTGGTGTCTCCACTTGTAATGCTGTATCTTATGGCCGCGTTATCCTCAAGGTCAGTGTCGGTTGCTTGGATGGCTGCAACAAAGCAACCTGTAGCACATGGAAGAAACAAACAAAAAAATCATTAATTTTGTTTTCAGTACATTTTAATGTCCCAATTCAATATCAGCATGAGCAATTACATTTCTGAATGATAAAGGTTTGCGATTGTAGACCTCTCCATACATGTAGAGACAGCATTCAGAAATTGCTCCATGTTTTGCTCATTGCCAATCGATCTTAAAGAAACATAACTTACTCAAATGAGAAAATCTGAAATGTAATAATTCATATCCATATACAAGTATAGACATTTCTAAGAGAATAGCTTTCTCAAATTGCTTGTAATAAAAACCAGTAACAAAGAACAAAAGTCAAATCAATGGAGACATTACACAATTTTATGAACATTCTTTTTCCTGGATGTTTATGATCAACTAAAAGTGGAATCACCATAATTATGTGAGGGTGATTTGGATCCAAGGGGAAATAATAAAGTACTAAATGAAAAACTGACATATCATATTGTAACTCATGACATATGGTATCTGGTGAAATATCACTTTTTGTCAAAATCTCAACAAAAAAAGTATTTCAATCTTTTTATTTTATATTTCTAAATCAAAACTGTTAATTAACTAACCTTGTTGGGAAGTAGCAGGTAGCGTGGCAGTGTAAGACGTGGGGGAGAAGCGGGGAGGGTTATCGTTGACATCAAGCACTTCTACACGGACACTTGTAGTTGCCAGGCGCGAGGGACCATCATCGACGGTCACAGTCAGAAGGTATGATGACTGCACCTCCCGGTCAAGCAGCCCTGTCGTGAGGATGCGACCTCCCAGTGGGTCGATGGTAAACTTTGACCCAATGTCGGAATTAAGTCGGTACCTGCAGGGGGATAACAGAGAGGTGCTATTTATATTGCTGTTTGGCTGTTGGTCATTACTATAGAAAGTCAACTAGTTCTGAAGTATCAAGTGTACAGAATCATTGCTTATACTTTTAGTTTCAGTTTTATTGTTCATTCCCAACAGAACAGTAATTCTGACAAGCACCCTCACTAAAAACCAATTTTGTTAATATTTCTTTTTATGAAGTGATTATGTGACTTTCATAACTTTGTACTTACAATGTATACATGGTGATCTAGAGATTCTAGATTTGACATTGTTTGAGTTTGAAGATGGTTTATTCTTTTGATAAACAATTCACAAACCTTGCCAATCAAACACTGGTAACATTTAATCCAATTATTTTAGAATCAGATGCAACATGAATTATGAAACCTTGAGAATTCCAGAGACTAGAGTTACAACTCCATGATTGAAGCTTTAATGATGTCTACCATCAACAAAACCATGAAGGTACAAATCGAATCAAAATTCAATGGTTGCATGGAAAAAACATGTTCATGGGTGCCCACGTACCTCAGAGCTGCAGTAGCATCAACATCAGTGGCTGTAACTTGGATGACAAAGGTATCGGCACTTGCGTCTTCAGAGACTGTGGCTCGGTAGAAGTCAGAGACAAACTCTGGGTCGTGATCATTGTCATCGTTCACTGTGAGTGTCATAGTTGTGCGTGTCTGATGGGACGGCGTTCCTATAGGGGTAAATGAAAAAGAAAACATAAGATTTGTTAATTTGAGCTTCGATTGATGATGGATTAACAGTAGATAGAAGTATATATCATTCAGTATGAAACTATTATTTATCATTAAACTAAAATGTTCTTTACAAAGATGAAAACTACAGAAATGTTCTTCTCATTAATTGGCATTTAATAAGCTACAGGGTAGACAAGATCGATTCCTTCTTATTACTTGTCTTCTCAAATATCTTAGGTAATTAATAAAGTAAGGAAACCTGTAGAAGAAATTTTAGAAAGAATTTTGATTTCTATCCACACATTTCTTTTTAAAATGTGATCAATACAAGTAAATGAGAATAGTGGGCAAAACAAAAATATGTTCTAAACTTGAAAAAGCTGGGCTTTTACTATTTACATACTCATTTTGGCATCAAAATACAAAAATGAAAAATCGTTAGCGTCATCCACGCATGGAAATGTCCCTAGAAAAGTATAACAACAAAACCCCTAGTCCATCACACACCCAAAATTGGCAATATTTCCTTCATGGATGAACTATGCCACCATGAAAATGATCACAAGAAATGCGACAGGTTCTGGTTCATTAACAGATCAATGGTGAGGAAAAAAAGAGAGAGCAAGAGAAAAAAATTGGTAGACAAAAGATTTTGAGATAAATTTGCTGCAAATTAGAAGTGGCAGGCTCTGAATGGTAGCCTGTGGTAATGAATGGTGCGCTGAAATACCCTCGTCAAGTGAGCAAGGGGTATGGGAGGTGACATGGATTGGAAGGACAGCTGTGGTCTTGGGGTTCTTGAGCTGCAGTGATTTAACGGAACACAGGTTATCATAGCTGAGGATTCCAGGTGCCTTATACCGTGTAGATCGATGCACCTGTTATGTTTTATCCTCCAGGTTTTCTAGGAGTGTAGGAAGCTCTGTATATATATATGTACCTTTTGGCTTGTCCCATTCCTTACAACTAGCTGACATTCTAAAGAGAGGAAATATATACTACTGGGCAGGTTATAATAAAATAGAAGACTATTTTCCAAAAGATCATGAAAGATGAAGGCTATTAATTTGCCCCCCAAAATCTTGAAAAACCACAATTCAAATAAAATTCAGTGGGTTAATTGTAGGTTGTTGTAAATTCCTAGGGTTGTTGTAAATTCCTAGGGTTTGAGGCCAAGATCACAAGGAAAAGGCTTTGTTTAAATTCATTTACGTTCATTTAGTACTAGGAATCAGGGTTTAGAAGAGAACCAACATTTTGAAACCTTCAGATTCATTCATTATTGATTTCTGTTTTTTATCATTTGTTCTTGTCAAGTGTAAAGCATTAGAATTGTATGATATGGAAAGGAATATACCTTGACAAGATAGCCATTGAAAGGTGACAATGAACTCATTTGAAATGGTGTCCAATAATCACTGATTTGTACGGGCAGTTAGCACATCCCTTTGATTTTCTTGCATCCTGTCATCACACAATGAACTAATCAATCATATTGTATGATACATGCTGAATTGTATTCAAACTACATTTACATATTCCTTTCGTGGTGAACTACAGCAACGCCATTGAAATAAAACCTCAAGGTGGAATAATCATCATTAAAGTTTATTTATTTTACTCCTGCTTCATCCCCCACAGGTGTACAAATTACTTTCCATAAAGCTGGTTTATTTCCCTCACACAATACATGATTAGAGTACCCCATTATCACAAGGCTAGAGCTTACATTAAGAATAAGAATGAATATTAACAACAAAGCCAACTTTTAGTGATTATAATGCAAGCTGACAGTGCATGAAAATTATGCTGACATTTTCCTTGAACTTCAATGTACCATCTCATACTCAAGCACTTTGCTCATTTCATTTCTTTTTTGAAAATCACGTTCTGAAACAAGTGCTTCACTTCGCTTGATACAGCCTACTTGTAAACCCCATCCTCTTCACGAGGTCATTAACACTGGAAGTAATTCGCATGTCATCATGTGGTTTACAAGTCTGCCGGTATCTAATCCTCGTTGCCTTTGCAACGCTGTAACGGTCTGGTCGTTAAACTTCCCAAGGCTCTGGAGTGATCCTGATTCGGGAAGATCGGTCACGTCGCCTCTCTCGGAGAGAGATGTTAGCGATACCTTGTCAATATGTCTCTATTCAGCCCCATATGCCCCCACATGGGATGGGTAAGAAACACCTTTGCTGTGCAGGGCAGTGTGAAATATGCACATAAACTCTCTCCCCCAATAATAGTAATTTCCTTCGTAATAACTTGTGAATATGGGTATCTTATTTCAGCATCTAGGATTTGGGATCTATTCAGGATCTAGCGAATAGATATGGAAGCGCCAAACACCCACTTAATCAAGATGGATGTATAAGGTAGTTGAAACATATGGCATTACAAAAATAACAAAAAATCCCAGATATGTAATGCATACTACCAGTAAGTTGCCATAGTAACCAAATCAAATTATGTGTATATCACATCCTCTATTCTAGTTCGGTCCTACTTCATTACAGACTTGTACCATTAGGTGAAGACGAAAGGACAGAAATATTGACAGTACATGATCATTCATACAATTCAAATACCAGTACTATACTTTACTTTATCACTATAAATATGGAAAACATAAATGATCATGCAAAATTTATCTCCATAATTCTTAATTCATATCAATGAATCCATGCAATCATCACTGATTATATTCCTCTTTCATGTTGCCTCCCTGATGCCTCCTCCCCCTCCCTCTCCGTACATAATCCCTCATGACCTATGACATTGACCCCTGACCCCACGGTGGATCATGGAGCAGTCACGGAGAGTTGGAGAACCACCGCTACCACGTACACCCGAGGTCTTCAGGCGGTACCTGTCATGTCAAGGAGTCTCGGGTGAGATAGCATAACTATCTCCTCTGCTAATTATTTGTTGGGGTGAAAGTACTTTTGTGATACCAAGGGCAGGGCGGGCATCACTCCTCTTAACCCCCCCCCCCCCCAAAAAAAAGGATAAAGATGATCTCTCTTTAGATGTCAGAATAAACAGCTGCATCAACAGTTGAGGTGGTCTATGCAACCCCTTACCGATATTCTTATGAAAAATGAGTTACATACATGAATAGGATCATCATCGACAACCACATTAGTCTGTACAAATTCATATGTGGATTTGAATGATGTGTTGATATGTTGATCAAATGACTGTGGCAACCCATGATGCTCTTGTGACTTGTGCTATGATAATAACTTTCAATCTTTATCAAACTTAAAATAACAATTGTCAGTTAACAATATCAAGCACAAACACCCCCTCCCTTCAGGTATTAAGATCATACAGACAAAAATAGTAATTACATAATTAATTTTGTATTGTCAATATTGCAATTTGACAAATTCAATGTAATGTATGCCTAATGATATTGAAATGATATAATGTTTTTCTTATTTCATAAAATGTATACTGAAAGATAACATTTAATTGCTCCAGCATACATGAATTACCACTATTTAAATAAACAAAAGCATAATTTATAAGTAGAAATAAATGAAATTAAGATGAGAAGATATTGATGAAATTTGAAGTTTGACTGTATTTGAACTTGGAATGAAATAGGCTTTTGTGCTAATCACTTCCCCTCATAGGCTTGTTGGAACTATGCTCAACATGGTTGGTTTATACTTCCTTAAAATAGCAGAAAGAGTTCAACTCCGTCCAAAAACCTTCTTCCTGTCACATCCTTCTCTCTTCACCTCATCCATCCAATCGAAGGAAACCTTACAACAAAATATTTATTCAAACCTACTTCATTCTTACATGGAAACAGTGAAAAGACTCAGACATCAACAAATAAACATTCTCCTAAGCACATCTAAGGCCTCATGTCTTGTCACTTCTTGAAGGCCCTAAAAAATACCGCAATTTAAAGACTATGCAGTGTTTATGGCTGCAACGTGCCGTATCAAAAAAACTGGGCGATTCAGAGAATTGTTCTTGCCTCTACCCCCTTGTTTTGTTTGGGCTGAGGGTCGGTGAGGTTTGGGGGCCTACGTGTGGAAACGCAACCAGGCAAGCGGGATGGGGGAATACTCGGCTCTGATCTCCTGTCATGTCTGCTATTGTCCCTCCATATTTCACTGTCGCCCAGCAGAAGTTCCACTCCCACTCAGACTATACCCAGCTACCGGTACAACCGACAAAACATGGAAATAAAAACACATGATCCACGGCAATTTGCATGAATATCAGTAGCGGCGGCGAGTGGAAACATTCCTACTCACATATCTATGCTTTCTGGGGTATTGGGTTTCAATGGCATAATGAAGAAATGTGATTGCCCGTATTAAAATACCAGCAAAGTGAGAATTTGATGATATAAATCTTATCCTCAAGATGCCTCCTAGCAACTTGAAATACATAACTATCGTGTCATCATCAATTTGAGATGATATATCTTTCAAAAATATGGTTACAAAGCCTTGAAGCCTAGCTGTGCAACCCCCAAAAGTATTTTTTTTTTTTTTTTTTTTAAATAAACAGCCATTCCTGCAAATAGCATTCAAGTACCGGTACATGATTGTATGTACATTGCAGTATGATTCAAGTGCTATACATATGTAACTGCATGTACATATATTATTATTGTTGCTAAAATATCTCTCTTCTTGTAAAAAGAGGGACAACATAAAGATGAGATTTGCTCAGGAATAGTCCAAGTATCAATGTTATCTACATGATTAATTTGAATAAATTGAGATATAAAGTTGTCTCAGGAACTACTTCCTGATTGCTTATTATATTTCTTCTTTCTCATATGTCTTTGCAGAAATGTTGCCCATTATATATCTTAATTTGATTCTTTGTGTATTTCTTTCCTTCTTTCTCTCTCTCATTCTCTCTTTCTCTCAAAAATTTCTGTTTGTCTTCCCTCTTCTCAGACTCTTTCCCTTCCTCCTTTTCCCTGCCTCTTTCTCTCATTCTTCCTCTATCTCTATCT